TTCAAAAAAAAAAAAAAAAAAAGAGTCTGAGATAAATGATCTGCCCTGTCGTAAAACATAATTATGGGACATCAGATGCTGAAAAGGTTGCCGCTGATATTCTCGTGGTTGCAAAATTTCTATTGGGGTTTTATTTCTCACATTTTTGTAAATGATGCATTTAATTTCTACAGTGAATGACATGAATGAGATTGATTTTTGTACGCCATGGGTAAATGTGACAGATTTTGCTGGTAAAACATGTTCAGGCCGTGAATAAATAAGGTGTGAAACCGGACCTGTGATGTGATTTTTTTTGCAAAATTTCTATTGGGGTTTTATTTCTCACATTTTTGTAAATGATGCATTTAATTTCTACAGTGAATGACATGAATGAGATTGATTTTTGTACGCCATGGGTAAATGTGATTTTGCTGGTAAAACATGTTCAGGCCGTGAATAAATAAGGTGTGAAACCGGACCTGTGATGTGATTTTTTTCTTCTTCTTTTTTTAGTTACTGTAACTGTTTGCAAAGTAAAACATTTCTACTTCAGGCCATAAGACACCTGACATTTCATCTAACTAAAAAAAATTTAGCTTCTATAATTACTCTCATTGTTTCCATAAATATTTTTTCCCATTACAAACGATATATATGAGCTGTGACTTGTTCTTAAGCAAAACTGCAAGCATGAATAATTTTTTTGGGGATGTAAAGAATTGACGCTTGAATACTGTGCAACACAGCATATCACTTAAGTTTATTTGGTACTTTTACAGTGTAACTTTTGGTTATGTAATCGATAAGGCACAATATTTTAATTACTGGTTTTTAAATATTGCTGCTACCTTGTCAGAAGATCTCTCTCTGTCTGTCTCTAATAAATCCCTTTTTAGCAAAAGGCTCACAGTTACCAATCAGGTCTGTTTAGAATTTGCATGTTCCCAAGGCTTAGTTCAGTCATATAGTATGAAGTCTAAATATTCTTGCTTTTTGGTACATATTTGTAGCTCATGGTTTGGTCTGCTGGTGAAAAAGAAATGCAGCCTATTTATCTGCAGAGCCTCCCTTAAATGAGTTTGCATGTTATGACCACAGGAGGGCACTGTACACTAAGAACATACTCAAGCTATCTAAACCATGGGTTATGTTAGTCCTAGTTAACATTTTAACCCCTCCAATTCTCAGCCAAACCCAAGAAGCTGGCAAAGGTCAACCTGAGGTCAGCACAGGGCCATTTCCTGTGCCGAAAAAACGAGAGCCATTCTCATCTCCATGATAACGTAGACATATTGTATATGCTGTACAATAATCATTCTGAAAATACACCCTGGAGGGAAACCAAGACAATGTCTGTTAGCACTGATGCTTAGGGCGACCGGACCCTTACAATGGCACGCACTCTGTGTTTGTGGTTAAGTCTTTCGCACCGGAGGGTGGGAAACCCTGCGAAACGCTCATTCTCACACATTCGCAGACAAAATGCTGTCAAAATGGCTTTTGTGAAAGTCAAGGGCATGTGTGAATGCTGAACAGAACGTACAAACAGAAACGTTTCTAGAGTGGCTACATGTTTGTGTGTTTTTTAAATGTACATTACGTACTCCTGCTATAGCTCATGTGTTTACAGTTACAGAACTTGATATAATCTGTCGGTACATTAGTTTGGGTCATGCTGAAGTGAGAGTATTCTGTTACACATGGGCAATACTGACATAACTGTGCATGTACTGATTTTGTAATTATTTTATTTTTCCATTTAAAAGTTTGGGGTCAGTACTATTTTTATTTATTTTATTTTATGTTTTTAAGAAATACTTTTTTTTTAGACAGATCACAGTTTCCACAAACTGTTTTTAACATTGATAATAAATATATTTACAGAGAATTACTGGGCTCTTTTTGACTTGGGTTAGTAAGTAACCACCTAGCAACACCCTGCAAGCCACCTGCACTACAGCAAGTGTTGTGGTGAGTTTTGCACTGAATTTGTCTTTAGATGTAAAACTGTAATTTGATGTGTATAATCTTTAACATAAAACTCCTAATTCGGATCCTGGATGCTGATTGGTCAATACAGTGTTCCATTCATGTTATATTCATGATATAGCACAGCCTCTCAAACCTTATAGCTTAAAGAAACAACTTTTCATCACACATCTTGATTTTGAGCCAAATGTCAGATATTTGACATCATAAGATCGTGCATGCAGACACGTTGAGGTTTGTCTTGATTTCCAGCGCGAGCTGATTGGTGAATGAGAAAGGGTCGTTACGGGTGAAGCCCCTCCATCAGTGCTTCATCTAGAACATACAGTACAGCTCCTGCCAAAGCTGCGGTTTAGCTGTTGACCAGACCGGAGCTTAAATTCTGTTTGAAACCGGAATCCAGCAGCAGTACTGTATCCTGATGTGGTGCACAATGAAAGTTGAGACGCAGAGAAAGAGAGGTGGATGTGAGGGTTGGGGGAGGTGGAGGGTGGAGGGTGGGAGCACATGCGCTCCAAGCTGAAGAGTTCAATGACAGTTTCTCAAAGCCCAGGCAGAAAGCTCAAGAAGACCCCAGCACCAAACAAAGAGTCCCAACTTGGCTGGTGTTCATTAACGATAGAGCGCCCACAATAGAGGCGAGTGTGAGGTGGTCCCAGGCCCCAGGACTGTACTGACCCCGCCGTTGATTGATTGTGCCGGCCCAGGCTCACCTGCAGCCCCTGCACACGCGCACACACACGCGCGCATGTCCTGACAGCCTGCAGAGAGACCCGTCAGTGTCAGAGAACAATATCCTGCACTGTGCAGCTTGCAACTGAGCACGCTCATAAATCACCACGGTGACAGAGACACCGCCCTCACTGTCCACACTCCATGACACGCACACATGCATACAACCAAACACACACACACACACACTCTGTCAGAAAACCTCAAGCTGTGCAACTACATGAAAGGGGTGTTTTTGAAAGGTTACATTGTGGCACCTGACTTGGGCCGGCAAAGAGAAATATTCTACTTATTAACCATGACCTCTCAGAACAACTGTTATTTATGTAATTATGAAACGGTTTTGAAGCATCCTGGTCCTGGGTGCTGATTGGTTAACACAGCACTCATAACCTTTCATCAAAATGTAATTATTTGCCTCTGAAACCAACCACATTCTTTTTCAGCTGAAGTCACCAATTAAAGAGAAATATTCTACTTATTAACCATGACCTCTCAGAACAACTGTGTTATTTATGTAATTATGAAACGGTTTTGAAGCATCCTGGTCCTGGGTGCTGATTGGTTAACACAGCACTCATAACCTTTCATCAAAATGTAATTATTTGCCTCTGAAACCAACCACATTCTTTTTCAATTGAAGTCACCAATCGCACTTGCTTTTTTCTACTCCCGTCACCAGATTCAGATTTTTACATTTGACGTCAACCAGCAATTTATTGCACAAAAGGTCAAATAAAATCCTTAAAATCTAACATGGAAATTATTTATTATTTAAGCCAATAATTCACTATGCAAAGCATATAATAGTTGGTACAAACCATCATCAATGCAATTGTATTTCTTATTAATGGGTCATGTTTTCTTTCGCATAGTTTTGCTTTGTACATTGTTGAAGATGAAAGCTTCTACCATGAGAAAGATGAATTTGTGGCAAAACACCATATAGAGTTTGGAAGGATGGTGTTTGATGTCAACAGAAAGGTTATGGGATTTTCAGTTACACTGATTTTAAGGTGTCCTTGTTATACATGCTCTTACTGTAGTATTAATAGTAAATTATGCATAATTACAAGCAACTAACTCTAAACCTGTAAGTACATGTTTTTAATTAATATCACTCCGTACTTGTTTGTGCAAATACACTGTAGCCAGGACACCTCAAAATAAAGTGTAACCAGATTTTCAACTGTATTTTAAAGGTTGATAAGCCTCATTTTCTATGCTAAGTATACACAATTATGTGATTAGCTGCATTTAGCATTGTTTCCCCCCTACTATCTGTGACAGTATCAGACAGACCTGCTAGTTAAGAGTCACTATTTAGACACTTTTTCCAATTCAAACAATTCCCAAAAATCCCCCCCGCCTAGATTTAAACACATCCCATCTTCATCCAATTACAGATTGCATTTCATGTTGTTTCAACATTTCATGTCTACTTTATATTAAACTTTCAATGACCATTTTAACAGATTCATCGTTTCCCATTATTTTCTAGCTGCTCAATCTCATAAAGCCTTGCAATTATTCAGCTTTATACAAGAAACAAAGACCTCCAGCAGGCTAGCAGGAAACAGACACCCCTCCACAGGTGAATATATGACCCCTAAACACCTCCACATGAAGTGGACATGAGACCTGTGGCCCTGTCCTCCTCTCAAATGCACTGTCATCTTTCTTTCATCCCATCTTTTTTTCTTTAAGAAAGACAAAGTCCAGCTGCAGCTTCCTCTACATCTATCTCCTTGACATCCTCCAAAATATACTTTTCCATTATGCATTTCCATTAAAAATTAAAAACATATAGTTCTAATGCTAAATTCTGATTAATTGAGCTACGTTTGAATTTTCTACAATGACTGACAGCTGTAAATAGTGCACAGTTAAGGTAATGAGTATTAATTACAAATTTTCCTTCAGATTAGATTGAAATGAGAATTAAATAAGTATATGTATTTTTAATATTATAAATATATTTAATATAATATTATATCACATAAATATAATATTATAAATATTACATAAATACTGTTCAAAACTTGGGGGTCAGTAAGAATTTGTACTGTTTTTGAGAGAAGTGTCTTATGCTCAATAGGGCTGCATTTATTTGTTAAAAAATACAGCAAAATAGTTATATTGTAAAATATCATTACAATGCAATAACTGTTTACTATATTTTATAATTTAATTTATTCCTGGGATGCAAAGCTGAATTTTCAGTATCATTACTCTAGTCTTCAGGGTCACATGATCCTTCAGAAATCATTCTAATATGAAACATATCAATGTTGAAAAACGCTGTGCTGCTTAGTATTTTTGTGGAAACCATGTGTCCAGTAATACTGATGCTAAACTTTTGAAAGGTGGTGTGGATACACACATTTTTAACTATGCATTTTTACTGTACTATGTGTATATACACATATATTTACAGTTTGACTATTTTTAAATGCATTTATTAAATAAATGTATTAAATTGGAAGGTACACAGACCCTCCCTGGATCAGGACGTCGCTCCAAACTGGATGAAAGAGCCAAGAAGAAACTGGTCAGAGAGGCGACCAAGAGGCCGACAGCAACTCTGAAGCAGC